TCCGCGCGCGGCGACGCCGCCGTGCTGTCATCTGCGCAGCTGCGCGACTCGCGCTCAGCTGCCTCTCTGTGGACGCGTATCCTTGTCAGTTGTACTGTGCCTCGCTGCGGGGCTTTCGGCGTGTGGTAGGTCATGGGGTGGCTTCGGTCGGCTGTCCGACCGTTTTCTGTCGTGCCGTTATGGCACGACCGCGGGTCTCCTCGCGCTGACAACGCTTTCTCTGCCCTCTTCCTTTTCTGTATGCGGTGACGGCGGTGGTTGGGTGGTTGACCTCCGCTCACTGGTGCCACTGCTAGGGCGCATTGCGATCGCGGCGGACCCTTCGCGCAGCGCTTGCTCAGTTTGAGTTTATTGCGTGCGGCATTGCACGCCCTGACCCTTGGGCGGGTCTGTTTCTTCGCTCGTCAGGGCCGGCGGTTGTTGGCTTGGTGGCTGACACCGCGCTGGTTGTGCTTGTACAGCTGCGCGGTTGACACGTTTTTGGTCACCTCACCCACTGTCCGTCAGTCCTGTGGCGTGACAGCAGACTGAACCTTCATTGTGCATGTTGTCCAGCTTGCATGGTAATTTTTCTAGAAGGGGTATGGGCTCGTCGTATCTCGACGCGTTTTTTTTTCCGGTGATGACCATGTCGTGGTGTCGCTGCAAGCTGGCCCACACTCCGCCCACTGTCTGCCAATCTGCTATCGGACCGTGCTGGGTCAGCGTTCTATCCAGCACCGGCTGGTCTGGCAGCCGTTACACTTTTTCTCGCGCTTCATTGTCTAATATCGCTCTTCGGTGATTCAGTGGCCGCCAATTCGCACTAGACTGCTCGCGCTTCAGTTCACTTCGAATTGAGTTGCCTCCTGGGCTTTCTGGCCGCTGCACTTTCGCTTGCATGTGCAGCTCCTCTTTCACACCACCCATCCTGCAATCGTCAGTGTGCGACGCTTCGTACACTGTGCCTTCGACGATGCTCGATCGCAATTAGCGCTTCCATCTGCTGTTCGTGCTTGAGGAACCTTCTGCGCCGCCGACTTAAAAAGTGTCTGTCTGTCTGTCTGTCTGTCTGTCTGTCTTTCGGTCTGTATCTGTCTCTGCCTGTCTCTGTCTGTCTCTGTCTGTCTGTCTCTGTCTGTCTCTGTCTGTCTCTGTCAGTCTGTCTGCCGGTCTGTTCGACTTCCTGCCCATCTATCGGCCTGTTTGCCTGTCTGTCTTTCTGTTTGTATGCCTGTCCGTCTGTCTGGCTGTCTGTCGTTCTGTGTGTCTGTCTGTTTGTCCGTCTGTCTGTCTGTCTGCCTGCTTGTTTGTCTGTCTGTCTGTATGTCTGTCTGCCTGTTTTTTGTTGTTGTTTTCTTTCTCTCTCTCTCTCTCTATCTACGTCGCAGAGCGCCACCAAGACGCAACTTGCCAATGTCCGCTCATCCATGATGTGGCACTGTGAAGTCCAGCGCGCAGGGTGGGACACCATGACCAGGGGTGATCTTGCCATGGTCATAGCGGCCATCCCCCCACCGAACACGACGTTCCACGTCCAAGGTTCTATTATTCCGTGGACCATCGTCGACGTTGAGGCGCCCAACCCTGCAAAAGCCGACTCCCCGAAAAGGGCCAGCGGCAACGATCGTCTCACCAGAGACCATCGCGACGGAGAAGCCTGCTGTGGGACCACCCGCTGGTGGAGCAGGAGCAGATCCGTTCCCATCCCTACAGGACTCTGTGCGGCCACAGGACTGTACCTCCAAGCGTTGTTAAAACCACAGCCGTACCCAAAAATGGCACCGCCTCTGAGCACCCCGCCGCCGGGGAACAAACACGTGCAGTGCCAGCGTGCAGGGGTCGCGCCAGCGAGCCAGCTGCACCAAAAAGGAGGCCAACTTCACATCCGACCAAAAGCCCCCTCGCCCTAGGTGACGCAGACGCCTGCGACATGGCAGATGAATCCACCGAAATCAAAGGCACCAGATCTTCACCCTTGCCCATGACCGAACAGCAGGTCGAGATGAACTACGATGATCTCTCCGACGGAGAGTGGCTGCCAAACCAAGTGTTCAAGGTATCTCCGACCACGTGGATGCGAGGTTCGGAGACCTGGAGATCGACCAACAGAAGGTATCCGCCACTGGCAAACTGTTCGAAACAATTGTCACCAGCGTGACCAGCAGCCAGGTGACCCTCGCTCAGCAACATCACCAGCCGCGTCCTCGCCCTTGGCGGAAGCGGGCGGAAGACTTGCAGGAGGCGGCGGAAAAAGAACCGAAACGTCAACATGTTTGGTTCCAGGGTTTCCAAAATCGTCCGTGTCAGCTAGACGGGGGGCAGGGGCGGGAGGAAGGGGGAGGATGAGCAGCAGGATCAGGGAGGCTGCGTCAGGATGACTCACACTGGTCATCACCCATCACCAACGGAATCAGCAGCCGGGTCGGCGGAGATGGACAGGAGGAGGATGAGCAGGAGGAGGAGCAGGAGAGGGAGGAGGAGGAGCACGAGGAGGAGGAGGAAGAGGAGGAGCAGGAGG